TCGCTTGTTCTATTGAATCTATGAAAATATCATTTTTTAAAGAGAAGAAAGGAAGCGCAAGCAGATTAAGCGAAGAATTAAAACTACTTATGATTATTTCATAGTTAATGAATCATCTCTAATCGTGTTTTCAGATGCTGCAATCTGTTTATTTGGAATTGGTGGTTGAAGTGATGATGTTGGACGTTTATGTCTTATTTCATAATCATTTTTTAAATCCGTTTTCAGATCACACAGATTATCGTAGATTGATTGTAAACCAATCTTGGACTTCAATAATTCAGGCTTTATTTGATGCGTTACTGGACCAAGTACATTTTGAATGGGTGATTGAACATTTTCAATCAATTTATTCATTGTGCTTTGGTGTAGTTCTGCATCTAATGCTGTTTGATTCACTTGCGTATTGATTTTTTCAAGTTTCTCTTCTACTCTTCTATTACTTTCACGCATTTCAACCAGATTTTCATTCATAAGCAGAAGTGCTTTTGTTAAAGTAGGTGTTATATCGTGACCGGTTTCTGTTTGTACATCATTCCACACTGACTGTTGTGGTTTCTTAGATTTGCCTATAGATGGAAAATCTTCGTTCTTCATATTGAAATCTGATCGTAGATTAGTATAATCATTTCGATGTAGTTTTCCGGATTCCAAGGCTTTAGTAACTTCTTTTAGATCAGGACAATATTATTGAATAATGTGACATTGACAATTTAGTGAATAATGTTCGCCATCACATTGAGCACATTTTGGAACGTTGTTGCATACATGTTCTTCCTTCTGTTTTATTTCTTGTAGACATACTCGACAACGTTGTACATTATTTTTACATTGTTCACGCAGGTGACCAATTATCCAACATCGGGTATAATATGTCATACGATTCCCAGATAAAAAAGGTGTGATGGATAGCCAGTGATTGCCAATCGAAATACGACCAAGTTCACGAGCTGTATTACATTCTGTTAAATCCGTTACTGTAAAAGGGAAATCATTAGACTTCCGTTCGTACGTGTAATCGATTTGTTTTCTATTATCGGCTGATGCAATAGTACGTTTAATTTCTTCTTTAACGAATTCGAGATCTAATTCACATGGAACATACCGAACAACTAAAGCAAAGCAATCCGGAATAAATTTTCGTTTCACAATTTTAATAGGAACACTTTTGATTGCTGTAGGGTAATTTTCTGTTGTTACTAACGTCATGTAATCTTCCTTGTTATTCACTCCTAATTTAAGACGTTTATTTGCCCATCCAACTAATGAAAAATGTTGAATACGTATATTATGTTCTTTAAAATGCTTTTCAATCAAACTTCTAGCTTCGAAGGCTGAAGGAAGTCGATGTATATGTATGAATGTTTGCAGCAACTATCAACCTGGTACTTATATTCTCTATTTAGAGATACAAAAAGAAAACATTGATCAAACAGGTGCTATTGATTTTATTGTTTATGGCGAAGGTGGTATTGGCTTTTTGTTAATTGGTTAAGGTGGTATTGGCTTATTTGTTAATGGTGAAGGTGATACAAGTCGTACATGATCTTGTGGTGTTGTTCCTATGTTCGTACAAGCGGTACTGATCTTGCAACATCGATTAAAATTATTAAATATTATTCCCTTTTTTTCTTTTTTCAACATCACAACGTTCTGAAGATGGCCTTGACATGGCTGAAAATTCAACAACACATGTAAATATTATATTATATTATTTTTTCCTTTTTTTTAGTCCTTTGACATACATTAAATTAAATTAAAATAAATCAATGATTGATTTATAAATTTTACGTTTATTGTTGCTATATGTCTTATTATTAATTACTATGTTATAAAACAAATCCATGTTTTAATTATGTATGTATTCTTTGTTTTTCTTTCATTTCTAAATTCGAGGTCACATCTTTGATCAGTGTCCAATTTTATCACACCTCGCATGAATTTTCTAAAATGCTGGACATGCAATCAGATATTACTTATTATTAGAGAAGCAAGAATACGAATATAAAGTATATTTTTTTGACTACTGTATGATCTCGTACACCAGCATGTACTGTTCTACAGAGTAACTGCCTAATTCGATCTCTGATATAAATGAAAATTTCAAACATTCATTAGAAACGCGTTCAGCCGAATAAAAAAAAAGCTATCGATTCGATTTTATAACTGATCTAGAGTTTTCATGTAAGTACAGCAGAAAGGCAGAAAAATAGTTTATTCGAATGAGAATACAAAAAGAGAGAGCATGAGCCAAGGCGATTTGATGGTTCTTTGCTTTGGCAAATTTGGAGTAGATCAACCAGAATGACGAATAAGTTAACTAAAACAAAAAAAAACAATAACATAAAGACCAGTGGCAAATATCATTGATAAGACGATGGAATGGCTAAGATCTACAGCACACTAGCAATTTCAAGCAAACAAAAACTTTGCATCATACAGTTTCTCAAGGAAAAAAGCGATTTGTATCTAACAGAGGTATCAGAAATGGCTATTCTTCCAGCCTGATCTATGTGAAAGAGCAACGGACCAAATGAAAAGATAAAAGGATACGATTTAGCAAAAGAAAAAAAAAGAAAATATTTCAAGTAATCCAAAACTTACTGGCCAGATGATATATCTTTCAGATTGTACGGAAACATAGCCATATTATCCTCCTTATCAATATATATCGATGGAATATTAAATCGTTTAAATAATACACCAATCACGAATTGTTCAGAGGAAACAAGTAAACGAGCATCAATTACAATATTTTCGCATGTCTGTTGAGAATGAAAGTATTTACTTAATTAATGATATAATCCCATCATCGAACGTTGAATATCATTGAAGACAATCTGATTCAAAAGTGCTGCTTGTGAAAGTTCATGATAAAATTCATGATCATTTAATAACATTTGCGTCGGCTTGTCTATGACGCTTGTAGAAATCGAAGATG